GGCCTGGTGAGTGTGTCCAGGGCCCTATACTGCACTCGCCAGAGGGGCTGTCCGCTTGGCAGAGCGAGGGGAAGGGAGTTCTTGCCCTGCTGTGGGCCCTGAGGATCTGGACCCACAGCCAAAGCCATGCGGCGTCCCTGCCCCCCCAGCGCGAAGGAGCAACGTTACCTTTCCGCGGCTGCTCCTCCACTGGGCGTGCTCTCCTTCCCGTTCCTCACCTGCATCCTCAGGGGCTTCCCTTCCTGTGCGTTCAGGGCTGGCCGGCAGGCTCTCCGCCTGGGGAGGGGAAGGGCGAGGGCCGTGCCCCTCCGGCAGCGCAGCAGGCGCTGGTAGGCTGTCCGGAAGTCCCTGTTCAGAGCCGCGTACAGGATGGGGTTGAGGGCCGAGTTGGCGTAGCCCAGCCACAGGACGATGGACTGGGTCGTGTCATCCACCACTTTCTCCTTCCCCTGCATCCCGCGGTAGGTGAACACCGTGAAGTAAGGGAACCAGCAGACGACGAAGGCCCCCAGCACGGCGGCCAGCGTGGTGTTCGTGTGCGCCGGCACGGCGGGCAGCGCGGCGCGGGCGGCCTTGCAGTAGGCGGCGTGGTTTATCCTCCGGGCCTGCTCGCGGGCGATGCGGAAGACCCGGTAGTAGGTGATGCACATGGCCACGAGGGGCAGGTAGAAGGTGAGCAGCGCGTCCACCAGCCCGTAGGCGCAGTTGACCTCCAGCTTGCAGCGGGTGCTCCGGGCCGGGTCCGTGTTCTGCACGCTGGTGTCGTTGGTGTTCCAGCCCAGGTGGATGGGCAGGAAGGAGACGGTGAGCGAGACGGCCCAGATGAGGAACATGGCCACGGCCACGCGGGGAGGGGGGGCCCGCCGGCGAGCGGTCCATGGTGATGGTGAAGAGGTTGAGGATGGAGGCCGTGCACAGCATGACGTCCAGGCTGATGTAGATGTTGCACAGGGTGGACCCGAAGCGCCACTCCTGGGTGAGCTCATAGATGGCGGAGAAGGGGAGGACCAGCAGGCCCAGCAGCAGGTCGGTGAGGGCCAGCGAGACAATGAAGCAGTTGGTCAGGCTGCGGAGCCGGCGG